TATTTATTTATTTTTCCAGAAAAGTATGTTTGCAAGGAGTGGCTGGTATCTTGAATAGGTATCTCTTCTTGGAGGATGGCAGCAGCTTTCTCTCAGTTCATAGTTGTTCAAGGAATGTACAAACAAACAAGCAACAACAACAACAAAGCCAAAAGCCTACACAAAATACTCTCCTTTGACATTTCTAACATGTATAACTGATAACTAAGAAACCTCTTGCCATATACTTTTACATAAAATGCAGGTAAAAGCATACTGAGTGCAATCCCACAAGAAATCACAGCCTCATGTACTCTTCTGCAGAACAGGCTTTCTAAACGTGATCTTGTGTTCTTTCCTTAATCCCCAGGGCTAATTCATTAAAACAAAAAGATGAAGAGTTTGTTTCCATAATTTGTCTTGTTATTAAACTATTATCTTGTTATTAAACCATTATTATGTTTGGACTTCATGATCTTAAAGGTCGTTTCCAACCTAAATATTTCTATGATTCTAAATGATTCTATTGATTTGTTAGGCATTGGAACAGGCTGCCCAGGGAAGTGGTGGAGTCACCATCCCTGGAGTTCTTTAAAAGACGTTTAGATGTAGAGCTTAGGGATATGGTTTAGTGGAGGACTTGTTAGTGTTAGGTCAGAGGTTTGACTTGATGATCTTGAGGTCTCTTCCAACCTAGAAATTCTGTGATTCTGTAAATAATCCATTAAAAATAATAATAATACTTCTTTCGAATGCATTATCTCTCTAATGCTCCCCTATGAGGTAAGACCTATTGTCTCAGAACTTCATTTATTCCACTGGAGTGCTAGCATTTCATACAGGCATGCTCATGCTACCTTTGGATTCTACCTCTCCATTACTCATGGCAGTGCAGAACTTAGCCCAGAATATTTGATCATGCGGTATCTCAGACCAGTTCTACAGTCTGATCTAAACTTAGCACTATCATGCTGATAGAAGTTTCACCAGGTCTGTATGAGCTACAGTTAGAACTATGACAATTGTTTAGTAAACCTCCAGTTTTGTCTGAAAACTTGTTTTTATCCAGACATTTAATTTTCTTTTATCATATTTTTATTTAACTATTGCTTTCCCCTGTAAGAATGGGTTAGACAAAATGTGCAATCACACTACAAGCCCGTATGATGTGTGCTCTAGAAGCCTGTACTCTGTAATTGCTGGTGTCTCTGAATCTGGGTGATTTCCTACTTAAGTCCATTAGTCATCAGTGATGCTTTTGGGGAAGAACCTCCAGAAAAAGGTGGCACAGAGTGGCAATAAGAGATGACATGCTAACAGCAACTGCTTATGCAGTGAGGGAGCCCTTTTATACCTCTACTATATCCTCTACTTTTATACCTCTACTATATCCTCCTGAACATTTACATCAGTAAATGAATTCCTTTGGCATAGACAATAACCTCTCAAATCCCAAGAGAGCACACGTGAGTCGTCCTACAACACCCTGTGCCTGCCAGCCCAGAGAAATGTGTGGTGGGATGTGGGATCATGAGTCCGGGGTGAGAAACCCGCAGGGATGTATCATTCATTACCACCACCCACAGCAAGCCTGCAGATGTGGGACCTGTGAACAGAGTGCTAGTGGAGAACGTCAGGATGCAGGAGCGTGGTAGGCTGCCGTATGTCAGCAAATGCTACATTACCTAACCCATGGTGAGCATGCAGTGTAGGCAGGTTTTATTAGCAAAGTTGAAACCATGATGTGCTAATTAAAGACAAGGTTGTCGTAGTTACTAAGGAAATGAATAGTTTCTGTATTGTTGCTTCTACCCCAACAAAATGTGTTCTCAGCTGTCCCACGGGTTGTGTTTGCCAGAAAGTGGGGTCAGGGCTTGATGTTTTTCTGTGACTATAGTGTCCCTGTGAAGCTGGTTTTCAGGTGAAGAGTCATAAGTGGAGAGGATGCCAGTAAGTCTATTAAAACACTGGTTGAGAAGCTCTTCTGAAAACTACGGAGTCTGGGCTATGTTGGTTTGTTTTTTAAGTTCAGTTTCACTTCTTTTGGGAAAGATGCAGTCTGGACTAGGAGATCTGTATGCATTAAAACTGGTCTGTCAGCTCTTCTGCAAGGCAGAGGTTGACCAAGTGCTGGAGCTGGTCCTGAGATGAAGGAGATGTAATGGTTTGAATATTTTATTGTTAATGATGCTGGCTGCCACCAGATGAGCATCTTGGTTAGCTTAATCTCACAAGAAAGCATTCTCCAGTGTGTTTTTCCTCTACTGCAATACATATTGTGCATAGGCAGTTGCTAGAGGCATAAGGATTTAAATTCAGAGGTGACATCAACAGGACTGAAATACAGTGAAGTTAATGTGCAAATGAAAAACTGTTTTCATAGGGTGGACCATTGCTGGCTCCTAGTCCTGCAGCAACCCTGTCATCCTTCCTTCTCAGTGCAAGATTTACATCAGTGCTAGCTTCAAGCTTAAATGATCACATACAGTGTCCTCAAACCAGTTTATTTTCTTTCCATTCTGCATCCTCTGTGGAAACCCTGTCACCAGCACCAGAAATCTTTCTTCTCTGTCATTCTGTGGGGTTGCCTGGTTGCCTCACTTTACCTCAGTGAGATATCAGAGCCAGTCTCCTCTTGTGTCATGGAGATGGGCAAAAATAAAATTCTCATTAAGATAAAATTGCCTTTGGGAAGACAGTGGAGTTCTACATTAAGCTCCAGCTTCCAATATGCTGGACCACCACATTATTTTCTTATGCTTTTATTTCCTGAAGCTTTACTCCTCTAGCTGGCTATTACACTGGAACATGTTCCCTTTGTTTCATCTGTTCTCCCTCCCACCTCAGTACAGAAGTTGCAGCAGCTGCATCACCCCTCACTACCAGCTGGGTTATTTTGCATTCTCCAAGGAATAAGTTGCCATTTTCCAAGCATCCTTTTAGTCACAGAGTTCCACTTCTACCTTTCTCCCTCTGAGGGCTCCAACCTCAATGTGACATATTTCTCTTAAAATAGTTCTGGGATTTAATCTAGTCTAATTTTGCATTGCAACCTCTGCATTATTATTTTACTAATTTAAGTATTTCATCTGCACTGCATTCTGCAGAAAGGGGCTCTGAAATTCTCATAATACAAAAATCTTCAACTGATCTTCAAATTGGACTGCCCCAGACTCATAGCAGACCTTGGAACCTGCCAGGATCTCCTGCTGCCTGTTGGAGGCAGATGTGGACTGTCAGACTTCGAATATATGAGAAGAAGTCCAGAAAGAAGGAAAGCCAGAAACAGCTGAGCCTAAGTTCTTGCCCTGAGTTACTCTGCTTTGTTTTGTTATTTTGTTTGGAATAATCTTTTTGTTAATAAAGGTGAGAGCAAGAGAGATGAGACCCTAATGCTGTGATGAAGGCAGCATTTTAATTTGTATTTTGGTGGGGGCTTCATCAGTTTACAAGGAGGGCCAAAAGCCATTGAGAACATTTTTGATATCTATTGTGTGAAGAATTGGGAGTGCCCATATGGCAAGAATATTTCCCATAATTAGACATTATTACTCTCAGTCATCAGAAGTTTATCCTGTTTGACATGGTCTTGGCCTGTGATGAAGCCTAGAGCTTCAGTCTTTGCCAAATTAACAGGAAACCAAGATAAACAGACATCTCTAAAGACTTCTGCTAGATATAACATGTACTAACACTTTTAAAATCTTGGAACAATCTGTTTGGATGTTAATGGACCTGAGATGCTGACATTTAATTAAATGAATTTTCTTCATGCTTTGCAGCATGATCCATATTGGATAGTAAAAGTGGACATGACTCCTTGCAGGCTGTAAAGAATTCTTACAAATTAGGGATTGTTCTCTACGTTGTATTTATAAATCAAGCATATCATTTCTCCTTTCGCTTCTGAGTTTATTTGTACTCAGAGTGGATGCTCATAAAATGTCCTCCCCTCTTTATGATCTGATCATGGACAGGCTCAGCCATTTTATCTTAGCTTTTGTTTTACTATGCACATAGTTGTTTTGTCATTTCCATTTAATGTCTATACAATTGTCATTATTTTACTCGTTAATGTTCCACTGCCTGTCATCACATTTTCTAGTCTCTTTATTCAAATTTGTTACTGGTGGGACAGTTGTGCTCAATAGTTAATTACTGTTTCTAGTTGTGAGGCACTTCTTTAGTGGTATAGAAAGTGTACTGCATTTCCAAGGAAGAGGTTATGAATTTAAAGATATTTTAAATGTTTCACAAATTGGATAAGATTTGTTGATCTAGCCATTCAGTGCACTGGATGGTCCATGGGCTGTAATTCAGGAGATGAATTTAGTCTTCCCTGTTTTATCTCTGTCATCTTCTCCCAGCTTTCGTTAAAAAAATAAAAAAAAATAAAAAATAAATATAAAAAAATAATTACTTCCTTCAGTTCTCTGAAACAGTAAAGTCTCTCCTTCCTTTTTTTTTTTATTTATTTATTTTATTTTTTTTTTCCAGAGGTCTCTGGCTCTATTGTCCACTTCCACCTTGTTTCTCACCATGCTGCAATCTCTTCTCCTTACCACACCCTTCTCCCTGCTTTTTTCACCTCACGTTCTTAATTCTTTCTCTGGAAGTCTATCTTCCTCCCCACCAGAAATTCACCTCTCCTTCACCCCATTTGTAAGTCTAATTCTTTCCTCTGCTCTTGGTCTTATAGTCTTTACTGACTTTGTGGTAGTGTTTTGGTGGTTTATTTTGGTTTTGTATTTTAATATTTGTATTATCTACAGACATCTCTCTATCCTCTTTGGAAAAGACTGCAGCTGAGACAGTGGTTATTGCTGTTCTGATGAACCATAAACACACGCTTCATATTACTACTTCCCAGCAAGAAGAGAGACATATAACACCACAGAAACAAATGGAAGAGCCATTTTCCTTTTCCTCCTCAGGGCCCTGGGAACATTAACGGGTCATAATTGCCCAAACCAGCCTCACATGAGACCCTACCCACTGTCTCCCTAAGACCCAGCTCTATTTAAGCTCAGGTCTGGGAAGCTACTTCTGTTTTGACTTATGGGATAGGTGTATCTGTGCCCACTTATGTTTTTTTGCTTGGAACTCTGATCTATGTCACAGCTTCATCTCCAGCTGCAACACCCTCTACTCCTGACTGGACTGCCTAGATGGACCTGGGAGCTGATTCATCACCTTGCCTTACCTCACTGGATCTCTGTTGCTATTACTGACCCTGCCCTGCTCACCATGCAAGGTACTGCAGGACTGCACTTGGGTCAATGCCCTGTCTGTGTGGACAAATCTTTATTCCTCACTCATTCTCCATCATGAAGCAGCCTGGCTCTTCCTGATCCTTACCACTTCTTCAGTAGTGCCTTATTTTCTTTTGGAGACTTACATTTGAAGGCTATCTTTTTGCTCAAGCACCTGGTTTCTGAAGGAGGTTGGGAGTATCTGTTGGTGTTCCTCTTCTTCCACCAACCTGTCCTGCTTATGGCTGCAATGTTGGCTTTGTGTCATAACTGTAAGGGAAGGAACAATGTTCTCATATTTGGCAGCCATCCTTCTTCCTTTCCTGCGTGCTCTTTCTCAGTTAGCATTGCCATTTAGTTCTGAAGAATTCATGAAAAAGTCATCAGACCACAATTTCTTGCTTTTCACCATGCAGTTGCCACCACCATCTTAGGTGTTGAATTTGTAGATTCTAGTTTTGCCCTGTAAAAGATGCCAAATGTGCGTGGAGATTATATAGTATTCTAATCAGGTTATGTCCTTTTGCTAAAGAAAAAGATGCTCTTATGGGCGTTCTCTCTGCTTTTTGGAGAGTGGCAGTGTAAAAAAAGGTTGCTAATGTTCATTGCCTAAAACTGTATGAGCACTTAAGCACTTAATGCAGGTTCTTCTGTAGGAGAACCTGCATTAACAGGCAGTTAACGCTTTCAGACTGCAAATCACACCAACACAAGCCATTAAAGATAAAAGGCAGTGAAGAACTTCAGTGTCTTGCCTGCGCTCCACACAATTGTTCTTTATGTTGGCTACCTTTCTCTCCCTCCCACTGCCCAGATGTTTCCACTTGCACCTGTGAATTTCTGCTTTAACTAAATAAGGGGATCCAGAAACATGAAGAGAACACTTCAAAAATGTAGAAAAGATTCTCATAACTACAGAAGTATGGAACTCACATTGATTTTTCTCACCATCCCCATCCCCCTGAGGAGAATATGCGTCAAACTGAAAAACTAGGTATGCATTGCATATGAATTACTACTTAAGAGCTCATTCCCCAGAACAATGCTTTTGCAAAGTAGTAAATTCCACCTAACTGGTTCTTGACTACAGCATCTTTTGATTCCCTTTGAAATGACTGTGTTAATCAATTCAGACCCTTTAATTCTCCCTTCAAATAAAGGGTCTGGTAAGTGTAAGGAAACATCCTACCAAAAAAAAATTAGCAGAGGGACCTGGTGCCTGATGAGAGATACCTCATCTACACTTTTCGTGAAAGCCCTGGAGTTCTGGAAAGGGGTTGTGCATCACTCGTTTACCAAGTCTCATGGTTTGGAACACAGTGAGACCCATGTTTTCTATGTATGTGATGAGAGGCTTATAGAATTTATGGAACTGTCTACTCAAGGGGCAAAAAGTTGCTTTGATCGTTGCTTATTAGAATGGTGGTGAGTTTAGTTGTATGGAATATGAATAGAGTTGTATGAGATCACTTATCTCTTGGCCAGAAGTACCTAAGAGCAACTACTTTAGGTAGTATTTCTTGATGGAAGAGCTTAGTGTATATGTAGTTTAAAAAGGCATTTAAGTGCACAGATGTAGTGATACTGCCAAATAATCTCTAATTATGATAAAGGGTGCATGCATATTTTAATTCCACCCATGTTTTGTTCCTGTATTGTCCCAGATAGGGTTACCTTCCACTATTCCAAATCTCTTAAGGTAATTTTGTTTGTTTGACGAAACCTACCAAAGAGATGAACAGGACAGATACACGGAATCAGAGGGGATTTCTATATATGTATATATGCAAACACCACTCTTGCGAAGATCAACAATCTTACAACATGGGCGAAATGCAACCTTTCTGCCTCAACGCTGTGGGACTAAGGACTGGGATACTACCACCAAGGGAAATGGATTAGATGGGGACAGGTTGGAGACCATATGGAAAATCAGAAGTCTCCAGCTCCGGCACCTCTAAGAATGTGGGTGGCATGTTGTAGGACACAGCAGTGTTGGAAAGGCCTCCCAGTTCCTGCACTGGACATCGCAGAAGATATCCTGTCTGTTCTCTGGGTGGTGGCAGCTGTGGTACTGGGTACCCTGGGTACCCAACCTGGTTCACCTCAGCTCTGACATGGACAAAGCAACCTAACCTGTGGACTACAGCTATTCTGCTGTCCTAGATCACAGCTTACCTTGTCTGTTCTTGGGGCTGGTCTTCTGCAAAGTTTTTCATATTTCTATAAAAGCCTGGTTTTCTCTTGGAGAACTCACAACATGCAATGTTTAGCGTGTCTGCACGGCTTTTTTAGACTCGTGGTCTCAGCACCCACAGTCTGTGGTGACTCAGCAAGGCTAGGGATGGGATCTTGGATCTTGCTGAAAAGAGTCTCAGACCTCCACTGCGTCCTGGCACTTGCAACAAGCTCTAGAAAATTCTTAAGCTCCTGCAGCTTGACATCACAAAAACATGTAAATATAAAGAACCTATTCAAGATAAATTGCGGTGGCTGCTAGAACACGTGTAATTTTCTCTCCCTGTGAGTCCTGTTCAGTTGGATTCATGTCACACAGGAGGTTAAGAGTCTATTTTCCATTTCTATGGGGCATAGTTTTCAACATGTATGCCAATTAGAAGCTATGTAATTTTTCTCATTAACAGCCTTAACTTAAACAGCCAAAAAGACATTTGTGCCCACGTTTCCACCACTTGCATTCCAGCCTGGTGTACTGCTGTATTTATTTCACCTAACCATATAATAGTTACATAATGTAATTCTCTTGGGTTCATTTCTCTTTGCTCACTGCTCCCTCCAAGTCCACTCAGTACTGTTATTTGTGTTTGGTCTGCTTTGACACTGTCTTTCCCTAAAGTTTTAAATAGCCAATGTACTGCCGATATGGTTCATCAGGGTCTAATACACATCTCAGGAGAGTAACAGGCTTGAGAGAGTACTTGAGGCAGAGCTGGTAACAAGCACAGGAACAACAGGAAGAGGCTAAGGAATTAATTGTACTCTACCCGTCTGCAGAAGGGTTGGGCTGCTTGATGACCCAGGCAGGCTGACAACATTGTGCAAAGCGCCCAAGCAATTTTGTCTGCCCTCGAGTAATGCTGACAGTCATCTGGGGCTTTGATGCTCAAGCTGTGGCAGTCTGTTGCTGAAGAATGGATCCTTCAGGAATATTGCAAGGTTCCAGTACTGCCTGCTGACATCTGCCAGGTGAAGATTTGGTGCTCAGTACTCAGGAGATGGATGAAGTTTTAAATGCTGAAGGAGATTTGTTTCCTTTCTCCTGTTCAGATAGCAGGTGTGATTTTAAACTGGTGGAGACGGTATTTTTAGTGTTGTATTTCTTAGTAATTTAATTAACTAGTTGTCCTACTGAATCTATTCTTCCCACTTCATCTTTTACAAAATTAGTCCATATCTTTCTGTTTCTGATGAAATGATGTGCTCCCAATGGAAGCATGCATGTTGCTTTCAGATTTGTAGAGTTAGCAGCCTGATAAGGGGGAAGAAGTTGAAATGTTGTCTTGAGATAACCATCTTCTGTCTCCAGAGAAAGGCAGATGCCCCAGGGTCAGCAAACATTCTCTTCTGAGTTTTAAACTTTTGTTTATGGAAGTAAGGGAAGAAGAGGGTATCAAAAGAAAAGACAGAACATATCTATATGCTTACATCAAAACTAATTGGCAAATATGGAGCTGTGGAGCTACTGACCTTGTTGTGTAATCCTGTCATTCAAAGGATATTATTCAGTCCAATATATGTTAAGATGCCAGGACAGAGAGTACCCTCTTAGCAAGCTTGGCACAGAATAGCAGTTACCAGTCAGTCTGGAGATAGGGTCTATTGAAATTTTCTTTAAAGGATGTTTTCAGAGTAACATATTGAGCATCAGTTATATCAGAGATGTAAATCATACTGAAACTCCCTTGTACTGTGCATCTGAGGCATGTCACCCATATTTCTGAAGTCTCAAGCTCTCTGGCCAATCCAAACATTTTGTGACAACTGGCTTCAGGCACCTCTGTCTGCTGAGGCTGCTCTTTGCAGCAAAGGAATCTGAAAATTAGTATTTCCCTAAAGGCTACCACTTTTTTTTTTTTAGCAGAAAGAGCATAGGTCTACAAAATCCCCTGGAATGTGATATTAATTTAGCTGATATAATTCCTCTTTCAAATCATTCTTCTAATGTCTTAAGACAGTATGCTCTGCTTGCACTTCTGCTGGATTTGACGTTTTGTCACCTATAGTTGTAAAGACATCCTACTACTAGTTACTGCAGGAAGGGCAGGCCACAACTTTCTTTGTTCTGAGTCCAAATCTGCTCTGAGTGTCAATAAAACAAATGTTATTACAGTAGGAACTCAACAGTAGTGGGTAAGAGTATTAAAAGAATTGTGTGCACTTTATTACTAGCATATAAAAATCAATCTACGGAGGCAAAATAGGTGTTGTGTGCACCTGATTGCTAGTATATAAAACAATCTATGGAGGCAAAGGAACAGAGAGGTGGGAGTGAACCCATGGCAGCTATATCATATAGCACCCAATTTGTCATGCGAGTGTCACTTGTATCTAGCCTTCACCATGTGTATACTGTTGGATGGGATCATTCATGCCTTACTACACTGATGTGGTCAGGCATAATTCTTCAAAAACACAATTCATTAGAACCCCAGTTTCTTATTCAAAAGTACTTAGAAGGGGAGAACACAAATTGTGAGTTACTTCAGGAGAAAACCCAACATCTGACGGCAGAAACCTGTTCTAACTGTAGCCTACAAGTACAAATGCTTTGAGGGTGTCATAGCACTTTGAGTGGAGACCTTCAGTAGTATAAAAGACATCTATCTAGGCATCTAACTCTTATTTGTGCCTATTTTTTTCTACAAATCTTATCACTAGAAAGTAGGAGGTGAAAAAAAGTTTCTTGTTCATATAGGCATTTGAGTGATGCAGTTACTACAAGTTTGAAGACATAAAGACTTTGTTAAAACTCTATAGTGTCCATTCTTCTGTAATATCCAGCCTTACAAACTACATTAATAGAATACTGCTATGGTTGCAAAGTACTCAAAGATTAGGAAATGAGAACTAAATTATGCAACCTGAATTCAATCCCCCTCCCTTTTCTTTTTTTTTTTTTTCCAGATTACAATTCCTAATCACACAATACAGTGATTTCTGCCAGACCTGTACTTTATTTGATGTGCAAAAAGGTCAGTTGTAGACTTCTTGGCACTCTTCAGTATCTTCACCTCCCTTACCTATGCCAGATTTTTTCATCCATGCAATCCTATTTTTCATCTTGTATCCCAACTCCCAATCAAAACTCTTGTTTTCTTTTTGTCTCCCATGGAAGAAATAAACTCTCCATTCTTAACTGCAGTATCTGTCCCTACCAGGACTCCAGCAGCCAGGGGAATCAGCTCAGAAAAACTGCTTTGTTCCTGCAGTGATGGGTAGAAAAGAAAAAATATCACTTGTTCTCTTGGATGAGTAAATTCAAAAAAATTCAAAGGAGGGTGAGCTTTCTTAGCCGTTGTATTAGACTAGCTAACACTAGAAAGAACAAGAGGTGTAAGCTCAAATTATGGGTATAGATTCTTTGAATATGCAGTTGTCCCCTTTATCAAGCCTCTACTAATCACACAGTGATTTTTAAGGGTTTACATAAGAAACACTCCACTGATGTCCACATAGCAGTGGCATCGTTCCCTAGAAAAACTCCCTTAAATCCATCACTAGTTTTGAGAGTCTTATTGCTGACCACCCAGTAATATGCAGCTGAATACTACCTCTCAAACTTGTCACAGATCATCCTGTACAAAAAGGACTGGAAACTAGTCCTTACTTTCAATGAGCTAATTGATGAAAGCGTTACTCTCCTATACTACAGCACAGTAATTGCCATAGTAGAGATAATGCTGAATTTGCCATAAAGCTTTTCTCGAGAAGTTGCATCTTTTTCATCTTAATCTGAGAGAAGGTAAGAAAATAGAGTACCTCCTAATGATGATTACTTATCTTGGCTGCATCTATTTTGCCTTTGGTTATGCTGAGTGGAAGAAGGTGAGAAAAGAGTTTCAAAAAGCCATTGGCATCAAGCCTGGTTCTGGAGAAATTTTGAGTCATTTCTTTTCGTTGGAGTTACTTTAATATCACCTGGCATAGAAACAATGAGGCAGCACACTTGGAAATATTATCAACATAGACAAAGGGCACCATGCCAGCATAATTTTTGATTATAGTGCTGTGATCTTGTGCATTGGAGAAGTGGTATTTAAAATTATTTTCACTATCTGTAAATAAAATTCTTTTAACTGACTTAAGTACGTGTTGATTTCATTGGAAACTTTGCTTGATCTGGTCTTTTTTTTTTTTTTTTTTTTAAGGTACTGCAGAAACTGAATTCTGATACCATCCATGATAGTAAAAGCTTATTCTCTTCCTCGGCACACAATCTGATACTGACTGCAATCTTAGAGTAAGTAGCAATGCCAGCACCTCTGTGGTTGCCAAGTTCAGAGAAGCAAATACACGCACAGAGTGTATAATACCAATTGAATTGGTTGGGCTTTTTTGAATCTGTTGCTGGGTTTCTTCAATGTCACCTTCAGACTTTGAAGGACTGTCCTTTTTCTGAGTCCACATTGTCAGCTTGACCTCTAGTATGTCTAACAGCTTTAGTTTCACCTAAGAATCAATGAAAAAGCCCAACTGTGTCAAGATGCCATCTGAATCACAAAATACTGAAGTGTTAAAATACTTCTCCAGGAAAGAAAAGGTGTGTAATGTTGACAGGTTCATTGGTGCTAGTATTGGTCTTGCCTTGTTGTTTGACCTTAGCATCAACTTCTCTGTAACTGCTGGTGAGACTGAAAAGAATTATCCTTTTGTTACTGACAGTTTCACTGTTGAGATGGGGTGACCTTTCCTATTCTTTTGCCAACGTAGCAAGCCCAGATCATAGTTCACAACTTCTCAAATGCCAGCAAGAACACAGAAACTTCCTTCAGCATTGACAGTCTTGGCTACAGAGAGCTGGATGCTGCTCACTGTTGCATCTCAGCCCTGCCAAGGGAACCTTTTAGTTTATTAACAGTATGCTTCTGAGATACACACCATTTGTTGCCACTAGATGAGTTCATGTTTGTATGCTTGTCTGGATTACAGTTCCTGTTCATATTCAAAAATAAGATACATAAACTTTCATTGTGCTTTTTTTGTCAAACAAGGACGTGGAAGTGGACTTTGTTCTGTCAATTTTGTAAAACTTCCAAAAAAAGACTTATATCATGCTGGCTAGTTGTTCGGATGACCAAAAGCAGACAAGGCTGTGTTATTAAATAGGATCTGGGTTTTGTTTTACCCTCTCTTAACTGAACAGCAGCAGCTAAAACGCACTTTCTTCTTTCCAGAAAAATTATCTAGAAAATGTTTAAAAGTATGGCCCTCAGTAGGAGAGGGGGAAATACAGAAATTCTAGATCTGACTGATAATTATGGTCATTTGTTTTTGTTCTACAAGTATTCCTATTTGACTCATTTGGTAGTGACTTTTAAGTAAATTTGGGATAATTTATTTCTGTACACTCTCTATTTTTAATTCAGGCATGTTTATCCAGATTGTAGAGGCCTGACCATTGATACAAAATTTAGAATTATTATAACAAATATTTATATAATGCATTCACTTGTAATAGATGTATGTTGTTATCATTTATCTATTTCAGTTTGTTTACATTGTAGATCTACACTTATTCTTTAGGAATGTGTAGATTTTTTTTTGGTCAGACTTACGAGAGCTCTAATATAAAATCAGCATGTATGTGACAGCCAGATGTGTTGCTGCTACTCTAGGTGCCTAAGGAAGCAATCAAAGCACCCTCCAAACATGCTTAACTCACTGAGTTAAGAATATTGGAGCTGACAGATGAAGTTGGCCATAAAGGACATTGCTTGGACTGCATGGAAGTTGATGGACATCTTAACACTGTTTACTTAATCATCAGAAGGCTTACTGTTGTTGGTTGTCTGAAGAGGCTATTTGACTGTGGGAATTACTCATTTGTCACAGGTATTCTCTGAGTTTATATAACTGGCAGTTATTTCTGCCTTCTGGCAGAAACACACTGTCAATGATTGAATGAGCCTTCTCGCTCTTTTAAAGAAGACAGAATTCTTCAACTACTGTAAGGCCAGTTTTCCTTCTAATTAGCATCCTGGCTCTGGGGAGGCCTGCATTGGTAACGCTTTCAGAAGTTAATGAAGCTATTCTGAAAACAATTCAACCTTCCATGTATAAGGCAGGTGCTTTTAATAGAAACAAAAGGTCTTGTTTTGATCAGGTAGAGCATCCTCATTTTCACCTGAGAAATGACAGGTGTCCTTAGAAGAATTAAAATCTAAATGTGTAAGGCTCAGAGTGGAAGAGCAATACACTGTGCTTTTTAATATTTCTAGTAAGGATAGCAGATACCTAATTATACAGGTCTACAACTCAGTTGAGTCTTGTCATAATTTTACTTAGCGTTCATACTGCAAGGCAATAATTGGAGAAGCGTAACAAAAGAAAATAGATTGCAACAAGAGAGAGACATATCCAGTACTACTTTGGGGCTGAGATGAAGCAAATAGAAATTACTAAAATGAAACTTCATAAAATTGTGTGTATATGTATATACATGTATGTGTATATATATTTTTCCAGAACACAGACTGGATACCACAGAAATCACTGCAGCTGCTCCACTGCCTTCAACATACCTTGATTTATGTTTAAGAGTACCTGGGTCAGTTTCACATTCCTAGATTGGGAAGTTTAAAGTTACTTCAAAGTTTGTGTGCTGCTTTTCTTCACCAGAAGTTCCTGTAAATGCAAAGATACATGACTACTTATGCTACGGTACATTTATCCAGGATTTCACTGCAGATAGCATAGGTGTGAAGACTTTTTTGTTAGAAAACAAACAACAACAACAACAAAAAAAACACAGTACCATTTCAAACACAGCACTTGTTGCTGTATAGGATGTACTTAAGCATTAAGGAAAACTCTGGCAGCATTGGCATTAACTTCATGGAGTGCAAAACAGTCTTTTGGGTTGCATGAGTGAGATCAGCAAAATCGTAAGCAATTATTTCTACAAGTAGAAATACAAAACTGACTTAACCACCATCTTGGTAAGTCCCAAATAAATCTGATTTCAGTTTAATAGTATTTCTTTAACTTCATAAAATTAAAGCTTCATCATGTTTATTCTTCTATAGTTTTCATGGTTTTAAAAGCACCATTCCTTCTATTAAAAACGCTATTCTAAAAGCAAAAATAAATAAATAAATATCTAAATGACTAAGTCATAACAAAGGAAAATTAGTAACTGGCAGCAATGGTAAAACAGAAAATCTACACGAAGGTTTCTCAGATGTTCAAGGTAAACAAATAGAGGACAATGCCCCTTTCCTTCAACTTTTCTTAGACCTAGTACTATAGCATAGTACTATCTAAGACCCAGTATTAATGTTTACCTTTTGGTGTCAAGAAGTACAACTGAATTCCAGGAGAAACACATATAAAATTAAACACAATGTATCACAGAACATTCAGTTTGTCAGAAATTTATTCTGGCATACAAGAGAAATATTGATGTTTTAATAATTTAACTTCATTTGAATTCTAAAAGTTTTAGGCTTTCATGATATTTTCTACTTATGTAAAGGCATGTATTTTAACAGGCTTTTTTTTTTCCGTTTCTGTAAGTCCAGGGACTCTGCATTTTGTTCTGGCTTTCCTGTTCGTTGTTGGTTTTTTTGTTTGTTTTATTACATGCACAGGATAATCTGCATTAAATTTTAATTTAGTGTCCATAGTGGAAAGCTTATGTAACAGAGCTTCCATTTTATAATCAAGAGCTGGAAAATTATAGATTATATTTCATTCATTTCCTGTCTAAAAGATTTTTCCAACTACAAAAGATGTTGTGGCCTTCAGTAGTCCTGTATTCACTGCAGTGGCAGATGATAATAATCTCACAAGCTAGGACTTGCTTCAGACTTCTGGTTTTGCTCCAATATCATTAACAGTTGTGCAATTTTGCATATAGAAGTCAAGAGCAGCAATTTATGAACAGAGTCCTAACCTTCTGCGTTGAAGTGGATCAGTTAACACAATTCAGCCAGCCCTGCTAAACCAGATTTGAATTTCTGTTCCCTGTGAGAATAGCCTGAATTGTTGATTTCTACGCAAAAGTAGTTATTTTATCAATTCCACACAAAAGCATCTCACGGAGGACTTAGTTTTGTCTGTGCATGTCCCATATCTTGAGTGTGATGCAGCAGCATCAGCCTTGCTAGCTATTTAAAATGCTGATTAATCACAGGAGTGTGTGTTGAGGAATGGGGGCACAGAAATCTAATTTCCACAGAAATCTGTCACATAATGCACTATTAGAGCAGTACAGAACTTTTAAGTTACCTGCTGAACAAATTACTTTTTTTTTTGGAAGACCTCATGTTGGCTGACTTCAGCTTATCAATGAAGCAGCTGTAAGAATGTCACAAGGACTTCATTGGTGCGAAATGGGAGACAAACTTCAAGTACATTATTGGTTTGAATACTTTTGGGCCTTAGACCCCTTCCTTTCCTTCACATAAAATGGCTATATTGGAAACAGATTTTGTTCTTTTAATCAAAACTCATCTAATCTGTAAAGGTTCAGTGTCTTATGAACAGACTTAGTTCTCTCTACTGATGTTCTAGTGTGGTGAAAATACTATAATGTATTTGAAGACATGCACTGTTATGACTTTATCTCCTTTCTCCAACAAGGAAACAAGACCAAACACTTGCATGGTAACTCATACCAGTATAATTTATTGTATTGCACATTTGAGGTAACCCCTAAAAGCTCTTATAAAAGCCTTTATATTAGCACCATCTCAAAATAGATATTTCTATTCAAAAGGGAATGTCTGGATTACGTATTTTTTATTAATAGGATTGTTAAATCTTTTGGATTTGCAACATTAAATAACTGTTTATTTTTAAAAGCTCTATACTTGACATTACTATAGGTTTTGCTATTTAATGTAAGTAGACCTCCGGCTCCATAACCTGTGTAGGTTCTTGAAAAAGTTTATTTTTGGCTGAATGAGATCTGAAATGCAAATATTTGCAGCTAATTTTTATTTTTACATGTCTTTGGCATAAGTATCATTCTGTGCTGGTTTTTACTCCATGTCCAAATCAATTGCCACATCAGGATCTTCAAGGACAAAGACTGATGGAGTGATTTTATGATTAATAGGAAAAGATTACTTGTTTATAAACATAGTTTCTGAAAAACTCTATCTTCACAGGTAGTTGCTCCTCCTGTCCATGTTAGTTCTTGTAACCTGGTGGTAATCATTCTCAGCCAGAGCTTGATGAATGCTCCTGTGGGCTTGAACAACTGTTGTCCATTTTGTGTAGGAAAGCAACCTGACAGATGCAGAGCAATTTCAAGTACAGTACTTTGCTGCAGTATTAAGCTCCATCATTTGTCATGTATGGAGGTACATTAGACAATCCTAATAATCCATGCTGCTCTTAAAACCCAAGAAATGTGGTTGCTGAGACTTCCCTGCTCTAAGAGTAGATAAAAACATTATGAATCTGGGGAAATTGTTCAGTATTTTGTAGGATCAGACTCTGACAATTTACCAGTCTTTAAGACACAGCATGACACAAAAAAATGTTTATCTGCTGAGACTTCCAGTGATAGGCAGTAGACAACCTGGTTTTCTTAATAATGAAGCCGTATATACAGTCTTGTTTCCTCCTTCATACATCTCCAGCAATTCTTTCATCATGACTGTCACCAAAGCAGTTACAAACCTTCACCAGTGCAAGAAAAGATAAAGACATGTTATTACATGATAGCTGATCCTTTAGCTTCACTTAGGAGAATGGACAGAATAACTCACTTCAGTATAGCTCATTTCTGACTTTGATCTGCTCAAGAAAATAACTAGTGTAATAGAGACTGATCTGTATGTTACTGTAGCTTTCCCAAAAATCATTCAGATCCAAATTACATTCTTTTTACAGATATGCAGAGTTGTGCTTTTTATTTTTTTTCCTCCAAAATAGTTTCTTAGTTGTCAAAATATGTCAAAATTTTAAGTCACTAACGCTTATGTGGTATCACTGGCATGTTCAACTTTGTGATTTACTCCAGTTCATCTGATACCACTCCTGACTACAGCAGCAGGCACTGCTGGCGGCAGAATACTAAGTTTGACAGACCGATGCCTTAATCAGGTCTGGCAAACACTATCTCCTCATGAATAATCTGCTCCAGAGTTCACAGCATTTCGGTAGAGCGTACTGCAAAATGTTAACTTCTGCCCACAATACAGCAACTTCTGATTAAGTTACAGCATTTAGGTAGTGGATGTGAGAAATTAGCATCTCTGGTATCCTTTACTGACAAAAATTCTTCCCTAAAACATTCCTTTATCGTCCTGGAGAAAGAAAGCGGTAAGTACTGAATAATGGTATCCCTGTTATTTCTACTTCTGATTATTTACATTATCACTCAAAGCACGTGTCCACTTTCCTTCCTCTTCCCTTCTAAGAGCGGATCGATGCCTTTTTAACACCGGGTTGCGTTCCCGTTTGCTCCCCTCCCGTGGTTTCTGCCCTGCTCGTACTTTTCAGGGAATTTCAGATCCCATCCACGGCGCTCACCGCACGGTCCTCTCAGCATGCTACCGTGGCGAAAACGATCCGTTTAACGATGGAGCGAAACAAAACCGATGAATAAAGATAATGAAAGAAAGAGCCGTGATGACGGGTGTGGGGGAATAAGGTGCGTTCATCGCCTCGCCGCCACGCAGGAGGATGCGGGCAGGGAGAGGCAGGCAGAGGAGGCGCTCGATTCGGGCGTGTTACCGCCTGTAGGAAGCTTTTGGTCGCCCCGTTGCCGGTCACCCCGCAGCCCCCCGGTCCCGGGGCACCCCCGGCTCTCCCCTCACTCACCCCGGCGGCCGGGCCCAGGTGCGGCGGCCCCGGGCGCCGCTCGGCGAAGCCGCCGCTGGTTGGGCGCCGGGCGCCTGTCGCTGGGCGGTGTGTCACGGGCTGGCTCCGCCTCGGCCCCGCGCCTCCGCCCGCCCATGCACAGACATGACACAGGCACACAGGCACTGCAGCTGCCGCTGAGCCCCGGGCAGAGCGGCGGAGGCGAGCGCGCCCGGTTGTCGGTAGCCGCCGGTGGGCAGCGGCGGCTGCCCTGCGCCCCTGCCTCCGCCTGCCCGCGGGCGGTGGGCAGCCTACGGCGGCGGGACCCGCAGGGGGCAGCCTGGCACCGGGCGCCGGAGGGAGCCGGCGGGGGCAGGCTGGCAGCGGGGAAGGGGCGGGAGGCAAGGAAGGAAGGAAGGAAGGAAGGAAGAAAGAAAGGGGAAGGGGGCAGCCTGGCGCTCGGACCCGGAGGCGGCCGCCGGGCAGCGGCACGGAGCGAGCCCGGGCGGAGCGCGGCACCCAGCGGCCGCTGAGGCTGGGCCGGCAGCGGTAGCGGCGGCGGTGCCGGAGGAAGCCTCCCCGTGGCCGGCAGCGCCGTGCCGGTGACCTTCCCGGGGCCGCCAGCCCCCTCGCCAGGCCTCGTCTCCCCGCGGAGATCGCGTACCAGGCCCCGGGGAGAGGCCGGGAGGCCGGCCCGGAGCCCCCCCCCTCCGTCGCCCCCCGGCTCCTGCTGGCCGCCGGCGGGGCCTGTGCACCGCGCTGCTGGCCGCCGGGGAGAGGGGCGGGGAAGGCGAGCGGGACGGCCGGCCGGGGAGCGGGCAGGCCCCGAAGAGACAGAGAGAACCGGGCGGAGGAGGCGCATCCCGGGGAGAGCGGGGTCCTCCCCGCCGCCCTCCTCCTCCTCCTCCTCATCCCCATCCCGCGGAGAGTGGAGCCGCCGGTGCCGCCCCGGCTGGGACCCGCCGGCTGACACCGCTCCGGGGACCGAGCCGGAGCTGCCCGCACCCCCCCTCCCCGGAGCGAAGGAGGCTGAAGGACCGCTGGGCTGCCCGGGCAGGGGGGCGCTGGGCAGCCCGCCGCCCCCCCGGGAAGGTGAGTGCCTGCTCGGGTCGCAGCGCTGCGCTTATTTTACCTGCCGAGCCCTTATCCCCCAGCCCCGGGGGCTTGTCCTGCCCGGAGAGGGGTGAGCGGGTCCCGCCGAGGAGTGCGGGGGAACCGGGGGCTGCCACCCCGTGCAGGGAGTCCCGGCTGCCGAGCCGCAGCTGCCCCGGGGCTAAGCTGGAGTTTCAGCGGGACACCGAGGCGGGTTCCCCCCTCCTGCAGCCCGGGAGACTCCGGCAGGCACCTCCTGTCCGGGAGCTGCGTGGTTTCACATCGTTCATCCGTGCTCACCAAGGGGTTGGGAAAGCAGCAACTTGCGGCCTCCGTGGAGGTGACGTGAAGTTTGGTAATGCCTTATGTAACACTTTTTTTTTGGAGGGACTCCTGGCTCCTGGGTTGTGCCCCGTTTGGTTTTCAGGGAGCGAGAGGTTTCCCTGCTCTGCGGAGCATCATACAGGCGCTCCCTGTACGGGCTTGCACCTGAGTACGGTGCCTCCTGCTTTGTTCAACTTGGTACGGGGGCATTGCTAGAGAGCAGACAGAGCCTACTTTTTCCCAATATGTATCGTTAAACTCAAAATTCGCCCGAGGAGGCATCTGAACTGTTGTTACAGGGTCCTACCTTTTTGTATATGTCTAGCGCTTTGGTTTTTATTACACTCTTAAAATTATTACAGGAGACATTTTCACAGGCGTGACTGTCATTTATGTATTCTGGAAGGTATAGATGCCAGGATAGAAATACTAATGAATCAAAAGTCTTTCAAAGAGTGTTAGCTTTCTTTTTATACAATTTCAGTGCTAGAAGGAAGAGAAAGCCCTAGGCTAAACAAAGTGCTGCGTTAAAACCAGATTTGGCTATTGCCAACAGGTCAGCACATTTCATTTAATGAAATCTTCTGGATATAAATTAATTTTCCTTGTATAACACTTATTATTTTACTTGCTTAGAAACAACAGGGAAATTAGGTAAGTCATTCTGGAAGGCTTCCTTGCTTCCCATTTCCCTGCAGTTTCTCTAAGTGGTCATCTTAAAAAAAATAAAATGTTACTTCACACAAAAAGACAGTGTAGTGATTTGCTACATGTTCTTTAGACTCCTACTGCATAGGTACGCTAGGGGGACTAGTTTGGTGGTGTTTTTTTCCCATGCACTGGGGAAAATGCACAGACTAATGTAATAATGCATATGAAAAGAAGACTTCTTCCCTTGCCTTATGGCATTCCATCATTAGTCTATGAGCTTAAAGGAAAAATCTTATGTATAAATGCAGATGATGAGTTCAGGGCAGGGGAAATATTTTAACAAAATCATTCTACCTCATTCTGTGTTTCCTGCTGCAAACAGAGATAAGTTATCGAAGGTTAGTTTACTTATAAGAACAGAACAAGCAAACAGATCCCCCAAATCTCCTCAGTCTGTTGCTTTCTTTTTTTTTAACTGGAGAAACGAACAAGGTGGAACAGGTCTCCCTAGGCTTCATGAAAACTGCAAATTGCTGATAAGTATTACAAGTTTGAAATGTGGAATTCTTATTGCTTAGGTGTCCTGTGACGGCCCCTGATCAGCAAGTCATGTAGAAGCCGCAGGAACTGCAGTCTCTGATGGATAATTGGATTGGTAGGTCCTTCTTATGTTTGTTTTTTTTCCTCATTTAATTGCCCACTTGTGATAGCAGTTTCCTTTTCTCCACCCTGTTGATTTTATTTCCTGCAATTTTTGATTTATGTTGTGTGTTGCATCTTTTCTGTTCAAAGTACATACTCCCTTCTCAGTTGCTGGTAAGGAAAGCACAATATTTTCATGACAGTATGTGGCAAGATTAATGTCTTCATTAATATCAGCAATATTCATGGCAACTTTTTTTCTCCTCTGTTCAGGTGTTATAAAAATAAGTTTTTTCAGGTCTGGGGAAATATGCACTGGGTTTCTTTAAAGGCATTCTGAAAATAGTATTACTTATATATTGGATTCTCTGTGTCATTTATTCAGTCTACTGGAATTCCAAGGTATAGTACCTCAGAAAGCCAAAGTACAGAGTGTTGTGAACGACTAGATGTCTTTTGGAAGCATTAAGATATGTCACCAGCTCGGTCTGCTGAAATTTCAGAGTGTAGGACATAATAGTAGCAAAAGTAGTATTCTTGAATGAATTACAGAAAACTGGTAAAACAAGGCATATGCATATGTATTTTATACCAGAAAACTGATAAAACTTCCTTGCACATCCATGTCATTAAACAGAAGTATTAAGTTTTAAGGGAACAATCCTCCAAAGTATTACTTGTGTTATTATTTCTTGCTTAATTATTTATTTTTAACTAGAATAAATGATCAATCGTCAGTAGACGCTTACTGGACTACTCTCTCATCTTTCTGTTTTCCTTTTGGTGCATGTGCATTTATAATAGGAATCTTAAAAAAACAGCAAGCACGCACATACACAAAACAGACGAATACCCAAGCCATTTTGTCAGATGTTTGTTAACTGAAGTCTCATAATGAGTAAAATTTACAATCTGATGTCAAAGTTTGTTATATATGCTAATCTCAGTTCATGTGCAAACTCCTGTTGATGGGGGTTGCTGGATCTAGAACAACATATGTCCCTTTTCCTATTTTTTTTTTTGTCCAGGCACCTAGGCTTATATGAAGGAGTCTGTTAATGAGCCCTTGTCATCTTTGATTGAAGACCTTTCATCAGCTGTGTTAGAATTAATTGAGAAATAACCATTTTAAGGGTATGATATGAAAAAATAGTTATGCCAGAAATATGACCTATATATTCTAATAATATTAATATAAAGACTTGCTTGAGATGAAGATACAACAGCCAGTGCAAATTTACAGTTGGTCATTCTTCATGAGTTTATCTCTGCAGGGTTAGCTGTATTTGCCTAATTCTGTGACTAAAGAACTTCCTGAACAGTAGCTCTGTGTAAGAAAGCACATATACACAAACACACGTGGTGTTTCTGCCCTGCTCGTTGTCTGACTTTGACCTATCTTTCTTTTTGTAGTGAATGCTACCTTTAAAAAAACGTACATTTTTTAGTATTCCATGTGTTGTGGTTCATGAGCTGGAGAGTAAGAACTACTATTTGGGAAAGTAAATTTATTATTTTTTTTTGCTTTTCATTGGGTTGGTATTTTTCTCTTCCTAGTGGTACCCCCACCTGAAGATAAGGGTTAAGAAATGGGGTTTGAACCTTTTAGGGATTCATGACTCCTTTTGGTGTCACCTGGCTTAGCATTTGAACACCTGTCCGGTCTCTTTTCAAAGCCTGCTCAATTCATGGTTGTAAATGGGGAGTAACAGATACCAAATTCTATTTTATAGGGAACTTTGTAGCTCAAAAATCAAGGAGAAATTTGCTAGAAAGGATTATCCTGGCCTTGGCACTGACTTTGAAGCAAAACTGCCAAGGCTGGAATCCTTGTGTAAGTGCAATCTCTGTCAGAATTAGAAGCAAACAGAGTAAACAGTTCCTTTACTTGGCTTAATTTGTAGATCAGACTAAGTCTGATCTAACAGTACTTACAGTAGTATCCAATTCACTCTTCTTTCCAGGATATAACTACTACTTCCACAGCAAGGGAGTTACTGGGTAGAAGCTACACTGAAGTGTAATTGGCGAGAGGAACCCCAGCAACGTCTATTTCATTCTGTGGCAAAAACCCAGACCTAATCACAGAGCCTGATGATGGAGGAAGCTGGAAATCTGAGACAGTGCGGGAAGAATGCAGTCTTCCTTGCCAACCTCCATATAAAACAGATAACACTTGAAAATAATGAAAAGGAGTAGATGGCTTTTAAAGGAAAGTATTCTCTGTCCTTATGCTTCCCATCTCTTGATCAGTGATATAAGGAAACTTGGGGAAACACTTTCAACTTGAAACACTTTCA